TGGCTATGCTCTTGCAGGCATACGAGATGCAAAACTGACTACATTAGATCGATAATTACTTTTAAAATATTATTACTTTTAATAAACATAAAATGACCATATTAAGTTGGGGAGTCAAACCTAAAAATTAAGGAAATACTGATAATTACATAACTTTGCAATTTATAAAAAATATTATCTTGGGAAATTAATTCTTTTATTAAATATATGATAGAGATATTTTATTTTATATTTTTAATTGCGCATTACATCAATAATAGTTTTATTAGTTTAAAGTAAAAATATAAATTGTTCAAAAAATCTTAAAGTAAAAGCATCAAGTAAGAGTAATAAGTTTTTATTATTAAGAAAATGAAAGTTAAGATGTTATAAAAAAAGGAAATGAATGGGAGAAGAAAGTCTTTATTCTTGCAGCACATAAATTTGAGTTACTATAAATAAATAAAAAAAGTCAAACAGCAAGAAAGAAGTAATATACTAATATTATTATTATTGTTATTATTATTATTTTATAAATCACATGTATTCTATACGGGAAGCAATTCTATTCGGAGCGAGTCAAAGATTAAAGCTTTAAATTCCTCTTAAAAATGATATTAGAGAGGATTGAACACATGCTTTCACCCCACTTGCTAGAGGTGACAATATGGGTTGAGCCTGGCAGATCAACCCGCCAAAACGGGGCGAGTTGGGTTGAGGTTTTCAACCCACCAACTCACCTCAACCCGCCCCGCCTAAAAGTGGGTCAAAACGGGTTCAACCCGTCGCGGGGCGGGTTGTCCCGCCGGGTTATATATATATATATATATATATATATATATATATATATATATATATATATATATATTTTACAATTAGGTAATATTTCATTAGTCCTTAAATTTTTGTGATATCCAATTTTTTTTTTATCTTAGTACTTTCGAGAAAAAATAAAGAATAATAATTTTATTTATGACAAATGTTATCTATATATAAATTCCTAAAGAATGTTTCACAAATACTAGTATACATTTAAGATTGAGACTAAAAAAATATAGAGAAGTGTGAAATAAAATAAAATAAAATTAGAAAAATTCATAAAATATAATTTATTTTTAAATTTTAATTAATTTTTTAATTGGCGAGTTGGTGGGTTGACCCGCCAACCCACCATAAAACGAGGTGGGTTCATTTTTCCAACCCATATTTTTTGACGGGTCAACCTGCCCCTCCTCGTTTTTTACGGGTTGGTGGCGGGACGGGACGAGTCAACCCAAATTGTCACCCCTACCACCTGCTCACCTCCTATGTACCAATTGATCTATCATCGTTTGGTAAGTAATATTATTTTTTAGAGACACAAAAAAGACTTTTCAAATTTTTTAACAATATTAATTGCTTTAAAAAAAATTAGGACTCCGCCACCGTACATTATATGTGATAGGTTCAATAAATAATTTTACATTTAATTTTAATTTAAATATTAATTAATTTAAATATTATAACTCATATAATTTATAATTAAAACTTTTATACATAAGTGAGAACGTTATTAGCTTAATCGAATAGGTTTTTACAACTCATTTTGCTCTAAATTGGAAGCTTTGTTTAAGCGGGACCATTTTGCTCAGTGATAGGAATAAATCTTTGGTACTACTACTGTACCTAGATTCAGTGCATCTTAGTAATGAGAGCATTACACATCAGAGGAGAGAGCATTATTAGTGGGATGTACTGAATCTTTGATACAGCAGTAGTACTAAAGATTTATTCCAGTGATAGGCAACTTGAGCAAGTGATTGGTGTAAACTGTAAATGTGTAACCAAGCCTAGCTAGCTTGGCATCGATCATCTTAAGCGCAAGAAAAGAAAAAGGAAGAAAGGGAGATTTTAAAGTAAAGAGAAAAGCCCGACAAGCAGAAATGTCAGAATTGGGAAGCACAAGTGGTTAAATAGTTTACGTGGCATTATGTGGCCACTGGGTCCGAATGGTGGGGTGTTAGGGCAGTGGGACAATGAAGTAATTAGGCACAACAGAACAACACAGCATTATGTACACAGGGGTCGCTTCCCCTCTAATTAATAGCAGAAAACAAAAAGAAAGAAGTGGTGCCACTGCCTCCCAAATGTGAGACTGTTAGTGCTGTCAGATGGGGATGGTGGGGACTGCATATATGTGTGTCACATTCCCTACAACAACAAAATTTTACCACATTCTTTCTTCACCCTCTGATTCTGATCTACCCCCATTTCTATATTTCTCTTCACCACACCCACATAAAAATAACATAGAGAGGTCGAGACAGATCACTAAGATGGACATTTGGAGAGCAGTGGAAGCGACAATAACAGTAACACCAACAACTCAACGTGACAGAGACAGGTAGAAAGAGAAACAAGATAAGTAAATACTAAATGGCCAATTGTTTGAGGTATGTTTCCCTCCAACCATCTTGTTTGTGAAAATGGGAGCGGGCTGTTTTGCAGCCTCCGGTAATTGCGCATGCCACCCATGTGAAACCATCTTGGACTCACCACCGTAGTAATTAAACTTCAAATATCTATGTATCAAAAAAAAAAAAAACTTCAAATATCCAATCCAAACACATTCCTCTCTACTTTACTCTACTCTTTTGTATTTATTTTATGTTAATGGAAAAAATGTGTGTCATTTTTTAAGGATGTAAAGTTGAATTATTTTAAGAGAGAGAAAGAAATAGACAAAGGAGGAAAAAGAGTTGACAAAAAAAAATAAAAGTGTGGATCCCACCTCCTTGTGAGAGAGAAATGATATAAGTTGAGTCATTTAAAATGATAAACATTTTTCTTTATATCATTTTAACTTTCTCTCCTTCTCCCTATTTACCCTTCAGTTCAGTTCACTACCATTGTTACATATATAGGCTACGAGATAATAAATTCCCTGCATTAACGTACCTTTCTTAAAGTCTTAATATGCAGCATTACCTAAAAGAAAAACAGAAACCCACTCCTTTTACCGGCAATCAATTCAAAGGCTAATTAAGATTCGCAATAAAATCTATGGTCTCCACGTGTGACCCTTTCTTTCTTTATCAAATCAAACAAATATAATTTTTCAAGTCAACTGATAATATTCTATTAACCCATTAATTAGTGCCTAATCTCTTCTCCTTGATTTATTTTAATCCATGTTTCAACTAAAGAAAGATTACTTTAAACGCTAAACAAAAGAAATCCAACGAACAATAATTTCGGCATATATAAATTCCATCGTTGCTTGCATTACTGATTACTTTTCTTCTATATGAACTCCAAATTCCTAGCATGAAATTTTGACCTCAACATAAAATCTAATTTGATGTATAAACAAGGAAGAATGGTTCTGCATCCTCATATAACTTTAAAAGAGGTATTAAATGAAACGTAAATATAATTAAGTCATTAAAAGTGGATTAATGGTGAGAGAATAAAATATTTATTTGAAGTCGGAGATTCAAATTCAAATACCATTACTGTATCAAAAAATAAAATAAAAACGTTTAACCCATATTAAGATTATTATTAACAAGATATTGAGTTATTCAACGTGTATAAGCAATAAGAAACCTATTTATGTTGACAATTTTTGTGGTAAACCTGTCTCAATCGAGAAAATTCTCACTGGTCAATCATTAATTAATGTTTTGTCAAGTGTTTTGCTCTACCTATTCAAAACACAGCGTGACTATGCATGCTCATTAACTTTGTTGTCGAAAGCAGAAGACATAAAACTATAGTCAGATTCGTAAACAATTTTTTTATTTTTTATTTTCCTTTAAGTATATATAACCTAACCTTAGTGCAGGACGGAAAGCGTTTTTTGGGTTAATGAATTTATTAATAGGAATTTGTGAAAGTCAAAACTCAAAAGCATTTTTAAGTTTGATTGATTCATTAACAATATAATTAGTGGAGGAAAGTCAAATGCCATTGCCAGACCAGGAAATACGCCGTACATATATATACATTATGCGTTAATTATGAATTCATTAACCTTGGTCAGTAATGCAGTGCTTTAATGCTTTTTGAAAAATTCTTTTATAGGAGTAATTGCATTGTACCTTATAACCGAAAAGCAATAAATTAATTAATTAGAAGTTTTTACCATTTGGAATCGCAGTTACCAAGTAGTAGGTGAAGAAATGAGCAGCATAACTGAGCATATATCACAAGGTTATTGGGAATTGTTCCCCACAGAATATACTGACACTCCGACGTCAATTTATAATTCTTAAACTGAATATTTATGTATAATAAATAATTAAAAAAAAGAAGAGAGATTAAGAAATTCTTAAATTTAAAATATTTGTATATACATATTAAAGGGTAATAGTTTTCTTATGTTGTAGAAGATATGTATTATCTTCTACACACTCACTGGTGCAGGTGGGGTCCATTTTTAGGGGAAGAGAGAGAAAAAGTAAAGTGGGACCCATTTTAAGTTTGTGTGTGTAGGAGATAAATTATATTTTATGCAACATAAGAGTAATAAATCTCCATATTAAAAGGTAATAACTTTTGATCGAGGTTAGAAAAAGAAGAAGGAAGAAAAGAATATAAAGAAGAAGAGAAGGAGGTGAATGAGTAAATGTATAAAAGCATGTAACATGACATCAACCTTGAATTATGCTTATTTTTTATTTATTTATTGAAATAAAGAAATAAAAGTAAATATTTTAATAGTTAAAATCCCCTATTTATAGTTATACACAGGGTCTCTCCTCCTGGCATCCTCAGTGAGACGCAGTAACTAGTTTTGGTCTATCTATCCAGTCATCGGCAGCAGCATCAGTATTTTGGTTTGGCCATCCCATTTTCGAGAAAGAAAAAAGCCCAGATTACAGAAAACAGAGTGCTGTTTACGAGGCCACTTTCACAGTAGTCGTCCAAATAACATCTTCCTCCCTCCCAATACCAATACCAATACCAATACCAATACCATACCATCGTACCCTTTGCCTTCTTTGACATAATAGCCAAGTAGTTAAAAGCTAATAATGATGGCAACAAAAGCAGAGCAAATACCTCTGTTAGTGGATTACAACTTCACTGAGCCAGAAAAACAAAACCAGTTTCTAACATGCTCATGTTCAACCATAATTGCAGAAGTCAAATCCCTCTTGTTCCTAGCGTTCCCCATAGCCCTAACAGCTCTCATTTTCTATTCCCGTTCCATGGTATCCATGTTATTCCTTGGCTACCTCGGAGACCAGGAACTCGCGGCGGGTTCTCTAGCCATAGCCTTCGCAAACATAACCGGCTACTCGGTCCTCTCCGGTCTGGCTCTGGGAATGGAGCCTCTCTGCACACAAGCCTTCGGGGCAAAGCGTCCCAAGGTGTTGTCGTTAACCCTTCAGCGATGCGTGATCTTCCTATTGGTGTGTTCCATTCCAATCTCAGTGCTGTGGCTAAACATGTCGACAATCCTCTTGAGCTTGCACCAGCAACCAAACATCACAAGAATGGCTCACACCTACCTCGTCTTCGTTCTCCCAGACCTCATCACCAACTCATTCGTACACCCAATCCGCATTTACCTTCGCGCGCAGGGAATCACACACCCTCTCACCTTAGCGTCCCTCGCTGGAACCCTCCTTCATTTCCCCTTTAACTACCTTCTCGTCACGCGGCTCCGCCTCGGCGTCGCCGGAGTAGCCGCCGCATCCGCCGCTTCCAACCTCTCCATCCTTATCTTCCTGGTTGCGCATGTCTGGATAACAGGCTTGCATAAGCCAACGTGGACGGCGCCGAGCCGAGAATGCTTGAGCGGCTGGATGCCATTGCTTCGGCTCGCCGCGCCGAGCTGCGTGTCCGTTTGCTTGGAATGGTGGTGGTATGAGATCATGATCGTTTTGTGTGGGCTCCTTGTGGACCCCACCGCAACCGTCGCTTCCATGGGGATCCTCATCCAAACAACGTCCTTCATCTACGTGTTTCCTTCCTCCCTCAGCTTCGCGGTCTCCACCCGGGTCGGGAATGAACTCGGGGCGAACCGCCCTTTTCGGGCCAAGTTATCCGCCGTCCTTTCGGTCTTCATCGCCGTCATAATTGGCTTCTCCGCCTTGTTGTTCGCCACGGGGATGAGACGCGGCTGGGGACGGATGTTCACCGCCGATGAGGATATCCTGCGGCTGACCTCCTTGGCGCTTCCGATCCTGGGTCTTTGCGAGCTCGGGAACTGCCCCCAGACGGTGGGGTGCGGTGTCGTTAGAGGTACGGCGCGGCCGAGCATGGCGGCGAACGTGAACCTGAGCGCGTTTTATTTGGTGGGGATGCCGGTGGCGGTTGGGCTTGCGTTCTGGCTGGAGGTTGGGTTCTGCGGGCTCTGGCTTGGCCTGCTTTCGGCCCAGGTCTGTTGTGCGGGGCTGATATTGTATGTGATCGGGACCACCGATTGGGATTTTGAAGCCCAGCGGGCCCAGCTACTGACGTTGGTCGATTACGCGGGTAATGAATCGGGCGGTGATGATGGAATCATGGACGGCAACAAACAGCCATCGACCGTTGATGAAAATCAAACCCCCATACTCTCGCTGATGGTGTAATGTCTAATTTTGTTTTGTATTATTCGGAAAGAAAAAGAAAGTGAAATTGATAACTATTTTTTAACCTCTTTTTTCTCACCAATATGGGACCTGGGTACATAAATAGAGGATAATTGAAAGTATATTATTCTGTCTTTTTCGACGTACTCTTCTGGCAACAAGATATCTCATTTGTTATCTTATTATTATTAATATTATTTATACTTCAATCGATTTATTATTTTGTGACTAGTTTGATTTGGTACGGTGTCGGAATTAAGAGATCAGAAAAATTAAACACATGCTCAATTTTCTAGTACTAACTAAGGTAACATGATTAGATTGTTGTTATCTTATGTTTTACTAATAGTAACATTATACTTGTCGAGACAAAAAAATAAAAAATATGTGAAATGGACGCCTTGGCTAAAAAAATATTTTAGCAAGCTTGTTGGATATGAGGGCGTAATATCAATTTAAAAATATTTTGACGATTTTTTATCTATGGTAATTATCAATGTTTCGCTTCAAAATTTAAGAATGTTATTAAGCAACTGGCCTACAAAAAGTCAAAAACCATCCTAAATTTTTTAAAAGAAAATAGTTACTTAAAAATTATTAAAAATAACATAATGATCAATATGATTTTATATTATGCGTGCAGGATAGATATAAGTAAAGAGACTTCGACCATCTCGAGAAAAATTTTAGTGCAACAAATGTAGATACAATTATATTGAAAAGGGAAAATTTTTAGAATTTCAAAGAAATTATATAAAAAAGTACAAATTAAAATGGAAAAAAAACCTTTTTAATAAAATAAAGTACCGAGTTAGGTATTCCCGTGCTACTAAAGAAATTTTCGACCATCTCAATAGTAAAATTGCGAGAAACATGAAAAATTGGTGAAACGTTATCGAAAGTGAAAGTAGAGTGAGTCACACCTCACCCACATTGATTTTGTCTCATCGCCGTCGAGGTAGACGATGGAGAAGGCCTTTTTCTTTTGTTTTATATTCAATGGCTTTGGAATTTATTAATTTTGTTATATTTTATTGGTAGTTAATTTTTTTTTTATAAATCAATCCAACGTTTGCAAATTTTTCTTTTTGATTTATATTGAATGCTTTATTGTATTTTGCCGTTATATATTTTGTTGGTAATTATTTTTTAAAGTTTCTCCATTATTATTCACCGTAAGTCCATCAAAGATTACGTTACCTTCTCCGGGGGCTGTTAGCATTTTTTTTACTTTATATTCAATGTGTTTCTTATTTCATTATTTTTCGAAGGTAATTAATTTTTAAAAAAATTATAATGATTTTTTCGGTACTATTAATCATATGTCGATCAAACATTTGCCATGAGCCCATGACATTTTCCAGATGTAACATAATAACACTTATGATTTTATATTTGCATTTGGTATTTTGTTATTTTTATTATTAATAAGACTATTTTCAAAACAAAATTACAGTAGTTTCATCACCATTATTTGGTTTTTATTATTTTTCATAGGTGATTATTTTTTTTGAAAAAAAAAATCAATATGATTTTTTCACCATTATTTAACGCTAAGTCCATGCTATCATTCTTTCTGGTGACAGAGCCACGTTGGAACTAACAAGTGCTTTAGCACTGGCTGGTTTCCAAAATCAGAAGCTTTTTTAATAGTTGGCTTCCTTCGTAGGTGCTGGCTTTGGCACTGACTTCTTCCATAGTTGATTGATTTTTGACACTGACTTCCCGATTTTTCTGGCTCCGCCACTAATTCTTCCTATATAGTGTCGACGTTAACATGTTTTTTTGTTGTTGAATGTATTTGGTATTTGTTCATATTTTATGTTTCATTGATGATTATTTAAAAAATTATAGTTTGTTACCAAAATAAAAAATGTCACAAAAAAATAATTATAGTTACTTCTTATTATTATTCAACGTTTCCCTTGACCTTGTCTGGAGATATTTTATTTTTATTTATGTTGAATGCTTTTAGTATTTTATTATTTTTTATATGTTATTAATTAATTTTGAAAAAAAAATAATGGTTTTTTCGCAATTATGCTCCACATGTTCATCTACGTTTACCTTAACATAATTGGTAATCGATAGCAAATTTTTTTTTTTTTGGGGTAATCATCGATGGCATTTTTTAAATAAATGCATTTGGTGCATTTTTAGTTGGGTTTAAAGTTTTTAAAGTTATTTTAGATAACTTTATCTAATGTTTACCAAAATACACATTCAACAATGTGCAGGGTCCATGTGAACCCGTGTGAAGAAAAAAGAGAAAAAAAAAATATTGGCACGTACACAAAATTTTGATGAACATTAGACAAAGTTATCTAAAGTAACTTTAGAAATTTTAAATCTTTATAAGTTTTTAGTTTTTATTAGTAATAACTTTTTAAAAAAAAAAATCATAATTGTTTTTTCACTAGTATTTGATATAGGTCCATGGAATTAGAGATGACAAAAATGAGTTAACTTATCGGATTGGTTCGTAACCTGCATACAATGAGCCGGTTGAGTTGGCAAAAATGAGCTACCAACTCGAGTTAGCTAAAAAAAAATAAGTCAACCTGCGGGTCAAACGAGTCAGCTCTCAAGTTATCCTTTTTTTATTTATTAAAAAAATACAAAAGAATCATAAGGGGTCATATCTATTTAAAGAAAGTAGAACTTTTTTTTATATAAGTTTATGTTTAGACATTTTAATTATCTTATATCATTTTTTTTTCTTACTTCAATTATCATTTTTTTTTATTTTTTTAGGCTATTTTTTTCTCTTTTTTTTCAAGTCATCCTGCGATCCAACGTTAGGTCGGGTTAAGTTAAATTATTTGACTCATTTTTTTTCGAGCCAACCCTGATCTGGCTCATTTTTCGTGTTACAAACGGGTTGAGCCGGGTCAAGTCGGGTTAACCCATTTTGCCATCCTTATAACTTATAAGGAATGACGCTGACATATTTCGGATTCAGTGTAAAATTTAATAATTTTATATTAAATGTGTATTGTATTTTTTTTTTACTTTTATAACTTTCTTTGGTAATTAATTCTTTTTTTACTGGTAATTAGGTTTTAAATTAAATCATAATTGCTTTTTTTTTTTCAAGTATTAACTTAAGTCAATCGAACGTTTAATAGACCTTCTCTGGAGATTATTATTTTTTTATGAATAATATTTTATATGACTGATGGTTCATGTAAAAGTTTTATGTTTGCATATCTTTTCATAATTTTCATTTGACCCCATTTTTTATTGTCAATAAAGTGCGATAGACAGATTTCCATAACTACATCATGTTAAATTTTAACCATTTACATTTTTTTTTCATTTTCAATGAGTTTTGTATTTTCGATATTTTTATATTCTTGGTAATTAAATTTTTAAAAAATTCTTAAATTCTTTTGGCTATTATGAATCATTAGCTCACAAAATTGTTATATTGCTATTTTTTCGGATTCAATCTGATAATTAATAGTTTTAGTTTGGAAGCGTTTGGTATTTTGGTTTTTTTTTGGGTAATTAATTAAAAAAAACACACCAGGAGGATCATTTTGCCATTATTCGCCCTGAGTCCATGATTACCTTCTCCAAATTCGGTACCGCGATTAGCATTTTTTTTACATTTAATATGTTTGGTTTTTAGTTATTTAATATATTTTATTGGTAATTATTTAAAATAAAAGTGATATTTCACCATCAATTACTGTAAACCTATCGAACGTGTATGTTGACCTTCTCCGAATATGGCCGACATCGAATTTGGAGTATCTTACTTTCATGCAATTCACAGTGTTGAACAAACATTTGATATTTTACTATCATTTTTATATTAAATGCTTTTGGCATTTTATTATTATTTTAGTAATTTAAAAGAAATGAATATTTTTTCGCTATTACTATTTACTCACAACAAGTTCATCGAATGTTCACCTTGACGTCTTTATTTTTCTGGTTATAATTGATGGCGATTTTTATATTAAATGTATTTGGTATTTTGTTATTTTTTTTGGTAATAATTTTTTTTTCAAAAAATCAAAATGATTTTTTCACCGTTATTCTTTATACATCCAAGGAACTTTGACGCTGATATATTCCGGATTCAATGTGACATTTAATAATTTTATATTAAATGTGTTTCGTATTTTGTTATTTTTTAATTTTGATGGGTAATTAATTCTTAAGAAAAACAATGATGATTTGTTTCACAATTATTTACCCTAAGTTCATGATGACCTTCTCCACATTCGGCGTCGCCGTTTAACCATTTTTTTTTTTTAAAGAACCTAACCGGGATAAATTAACACCCATTCAATTTTTTATTTTATTTTTAACGGCTGTTCAAATTTTTATTTTTATTTTTGGTAAGCTGGGTAAAACACACCACAACACAAATTAAATAACTGAAATACGACGAGTTCTACAAATAGAAGTTAAATCTGCATGAAACAGCAGACCAATTCCAAGGGGGGAGGGGAATTAAAAACACAAAAATCATCAGAATTAACATTCATAAAAAGAAAATTTGCCAGCCAATCCGCACAACAGTTTTCTTCTCTGAAAGTATGAACCAAATGAACTCGCCAATCCTTTTGAATCCATGTTCGTAATCGAGAAATCAGATGATTCTCATGGACTGTATCACCATCACTAGTGAGCAGAGCAATAGCTGATTTAGAGTCACTTTCTACAATAATATTTCTCTATCCATCTTCCCAAGCTAGTTGCAAACCCTTTAAAATACTCCAGGATCCTGCCGTAAGAGCATCACAACTACCAATTCTATAAGTAAATCCTTTTAACCATTGACCAACATCATTTCTAATAACACCACCACAAGCTGCTAATCTTTCATTACCCTTAACCGCTCCATCCGTATTAATCTTTACCCAATTGCTTCCAGGAGCCTTCCAACAAATCAAAGTATCCGAATGGGACATTTATTTTGAGCTAAATTAACCTTATGAAAAGCATCTTGTATATCTCTCACCTTGGCTATCATTGATTGAATC